TGGGGCATCTCTGAAATAACATATCTGGGGGCGCCTGGGGGGCTCAGTCGGTTGAGCGTCTGACTCTTGATTTCAGCTCAGGTTATGATCTCATGGTTTGTAGGATCGAGCTTCGAGTCAGGCTCTGCGCTGACAGCACGGAGCCTGTTTGGGATTCTCTGTCTCCCTCTCTTTCTCTGCCCCTCCCCCCATCAAAATAAATGAGTAAACTTAAAGGGACACATCTGACCGGGGTCAGGTGGCCTTCATGCCTCCTCCCCTGGTTCACTCCACATAGCCTCCTACTTGCGACATCTCCGTGACCCTCTAGCCCAGGGCTTACAAACAAGTGGCTGGAGACAAGAATTGTTCTTGTTTTTTTGGCCCGCATGGCCTTGGCCGCCTCTAAAATTCAGATGTCACAAAAAAGTGAAGATTTCCCACAGGCCACACGTGGTTGCCCCATTCCGCTGGGGCCTTTGCCCCAAAACCTACATCCCTCCAGGGGTGGCCCTGACTGGACACTGTCACTTGCCCTGTACCATCGTGACTGCGCGTTTCTTCCCCCTGGACCTCTTCATTCACGTGCGTTTCCTGCCTAGAACCCGTTGGTGGGGGAGTTTTCAACACCCTTCTGCTTACATATCCTTCTAAAATTGGGACCCGATTGTGCCACTTTGCAGCTTAAAATCCTTTCATGCCCACGCTCCCCACATCTTGGTCTGTGGATGAAGTTCCAGCTTCTTAGCTGTTTTTTTTTTTTTTTAAATCTGCCTCTTCGTCCCCTCTCACTGTTCTCCACCCTTCCATCTGCCCTTGCTCCTGCTTCCCAAGCCTTATTACTCCAGCCACACTGAATTCCAGCCATAGGAATTCACACGCCTGTGCATGCGAAGGGGCTGTTCCTACTGCCTGAATGCCCTTCCCTCTCAGCCCTGCACACTTTGGAAGACTCAGCTCCAGGGTCTTCGCCCTGAGCAGCAACTTGCTCCACATCCCAATCTGAAGATACCCTCCATCCCTGCACATATTCCCCTTGCAACGTCGTCATTGGCTTGTCTCTTTCTCCTGTGACTATATACTATCGAATCTTGCTGCCACACAGCTTGTCAGTGTTGACTCTGGAACTCTAATGCATTTGACGCAGGAGAGGGAGCTCGGACCCGGAGTCAGGCAGCCCCGATTTGCTATCTCAGCCATTCCAGTGATCAACTTTGGCCAAGTTCCTTAACCCCTCTGATTCTCAGTGGCCATATCTATAAATGGAGGTAATAATTCCTACCCAGGGACATTGCTATGAGGGTTGGAAATATTTTATATAAAATGCCTAGCACAGTGGCTAATACCTTTTAGGCACTCGGTCACTGCCAATTTGTATCCCCAATCAATGAGTCGGGACAAACACAGCAGACATAAGGAACAGCCCATCTAAAGCGTGCCTGGGGAGGGGCGCCTGGGTGGCTCAGTGGGTTAAGCATCTGACTTCGGCTCAGGTCATGATCTCGCAGTTCACGAGTTCCAACCCTGTGTCGGGCTCTGTGCTGACAGCTCAGAGCCTGGAGCCTGCTTTGGATTCTGTGTCTGCCTCTCTCTCTGACCCTCCCCTGCTCATATTCTCTCTCTCTCTCTCTCAAAAGTAAATAAACATTAAAAAAAAAATTAAAGTGTGCCTGGGTGGAATTAAGGAGAAGCAGAGGAGGAAGGAAAGAGTATATTTACACGGTGTCGAGGCACTTAGGACAGTGCTGGGGGCACTCCGAGTTTGATATTTCCCCCCTAAAGCCTGGAAAGTGTTCAGTGAAAGACTTAATTATCAGTTAGCAGAAGTCTGCAAATGTTAGACAGCTCTGCATCTAGAATAATGAAGATGCTAGAAGATCATCCTGGCTAATTACTGTTTACTGGCACATGTCATACAATTGGCTTCTTAAGTGTGTATGTGAAGTTCGCTTTGGCTTTGTTTTCCCAAGTGTCAATGTCAGTGGGGTGGACAAGCGTGTATGCAGACCGCCACCGTAGGAACCCTGCAGACGGTAGCTCAGCAGAGGGTCAAGGAGGTCGGCTCCGCACGTAGCTGTACTGGGTAAAGCACTGTAGGTCACATCCTGCTTATAGCTGGTCCTTTCTCTCCAAACTGTCACCTCCTGGAGACCTGGGCCTGTGTCATTCATGTCTGTTTTCCCTGCACATAGCATAACGCTGCTTCATAGCAGGTGATCAATAAATCGTCGTTCAGGAGATAAATGGATACATTGGGTTATCGACTCACTTCCTATCAGTTTTCTCATTTTTCTATATTTGCTCTTCTTTCCCTCCATCCTTTTCTAGGACATTTGATTTAACATTACCCTCTTTCTTAGGCTTTCCTGACCCCACCTCCATTTATAGCTCAAGAACTCATCCCCTCATCAGCATACCGTGCCGCTCTCCTGATTTGCATTTCCCTATAGTACTTGTTACCATCTCTATTTTATTTATTGCCTGACTCTCCCTGAGAGAGTGAAAGCAGTTATGCAGCTCACTGCTGTATCCCTGGTACATCACTGCCTGCCTTAGATAAGGCGCTCGAAAGTATTTGCTGAGGGAACTGTGTGATCAACTACGGGGTTTAGTTACGTGCCTTTGTATCCACCTAAAAATGTAAGCTATATATTCTGGGCACCCGAACCTTGTAATAGAGCTGCTACCCGTATGCGATAGGCTAATCACTTTTTGCTATTGAGAATTCATTTGTCCCGACTTCCACTCTGTCTCCTAACTAGCCTCTAGGATTTCAGAAAGGGGGAGTTTCAAGAGTCTTACAGGTGCCTCGGTGATTTAGGGGAAGTGATTTGTACTTTCACTGCTCTGCAGAGCAGGACCCTCATAATAGCACTAGAAGGAGAAAAAGCAAAAACAAGAAGTAACGCTAAGTCACTATTTGTATTTGCTAGTAAAATATTGAATTGCAGGTTTCACCTGTTTGTAGGAAGGACAAACAGTCACAGGATGGCTCTGACCAGTGGCCAAAACTGTTTTTCTTTCAAACGTTATCTACGAAGGCCCTTGGTAATGAAGGAGCGTGGGGGCGGGAAGGGGTCCCTGAGCCTTCCCGCCTGGAAAATGGGTGGACTGAAGACAATCTCCAGGCTCCATCAAGCCCTAAAAGTCCATGGAGATAAAGCTATGGAACTTTTTGTGTCCGTCTACTTTTCTATTTCATGTTTATTATTACAACTGACTTAATAGACCAAGAACAATGGTTATAAACTGGTATTTAGACGTATAAACTTTACTTTCACAGTTTTTCTAATTAAATGGCAATTGTTTTTCTATCATGAATATTGAAAAATGCAAAAGTATCTAAGGACACTTATAGATTTAAAGGACCGCTGTAATAACTACATTTAACTTTGATTCCTGAAGAGACTAATTATCCAGTTTATGAACGTGGGAGCCCCCTGGATTTCTCTTCGCGTGTTTGAAGAAGGGCAAAGGACTTGAAAAGCTCCAGCTCCAGTCTGGGAGTTGTTTATGAGCTCTAAGGACATTATAAGCAGAGGCTAAATGAGTTTTTGGCACCGTTTGGAGGTTCCTATTTTGGGCACCTTCCACCTCCACTAGCCTTAAGCTGAGAATTACCAGTACTGTGCGTAGTCCATTAATTGCAATTCAGATCATTTCACAAGTGTTAATATTTCATCTTTAGAATGTGCGGTGAAACACATGCTCCTCCTTAAAAGCTATGGAGAAGAAACTTTAAAAAGAAAATTTATTAATCCGTTAAAGCACACTAGCCTTTGGAAGAGTGTTCACAGTGTTCCAATTTTAAATGAACATTGGGGCAGCGTTACTGTACCAGCCAAAGCAGCAAACAGTGGGTATAACTGACCTCCTTAAAGACCGGGGAACACTGGCCGGTCACTGTGCAGATTTTCTGGGGTTTAAGACGTACCCCCCCAACACAAATGCGAATTCCGGCACCCCCATCCAAAACCTCCAGAGCCTAACACCGCTTCTATTTAGTAAAGAGAAAAATAGAGCTTTTAAAATGCACCAGAGTCACAGATTTGTTTTCGGGAGGGATAGGCTCGTTCTCTTTTTATAAACTCACAGCCCTTCATTTTCCATGAGCTTGATATTTAATGTATCTATCAGCTTCGGCACGATCCGGAGGTATTTGTACAGATGAGTAGACTCAGGGTGCATTGCATGGTCTAGCGGGGCCTCGCCGGGCGTCCTAACTCGACCGGGTCCTGAGTCGCACGGAATTAATCTTGCAGAGGTCAGTGTGTTTGGGGAGGTAAGGGCGGCCTCACAAAGGCCACTCCGAGGCGTATTTAGCTTCTGCGGCTCTCGGCACCGGGCGCACAGCCTGCACCGGGAGGCGGGCGGCCTGGGGGAGACGCTCCCGCCCCCGAGGCCGGCCCTGCACCGGGGCTCGGGGAAGACACAAAAGAGGTGCTCCGTCCTCGCCCGCCCGCGAGTTAACACCCAGGGCGCCAGGCAGGGCTTGGAAAAATGAAACCAAATGCTCGGCGGAGGCCAGGCCCCCGCGTCCGATAACTGCCAACTCGTGGGGGTCCAAACCCACACGGAAAGTAGATTTAAGGAGTTTCGAGCACATCGGTGGGGAGACTGCTAGGAAGGCACATCTAAGATGGAAGAAAGGTGGAGGGCTCGGCCGAACGGGCCGGGTCGAGGCCTGCGAGCCTCTGCGCGCACACAGCCTCCGGGCTGCGGAGGCAGCGAGCAGGGCGAACACCGCCGGCGGGGGACGGGAAGGGCCTCCGGAGGCTGCCGGGGATCGGTTTAACCGAAAGGCCGTTCCCCCTTCCTCCATCTGCTCGGCCCCCACTGGAAGCGCACTGCGCGGCCGGCGCCGCGCTCTCGGCGGGTTCGGCGTGGGGGCGGGGAGGCGGGCGCGGGCGGGGCGGGGCGGGGCGGGGCGCGGGCGCGCTCCGGCGCTCCTCCGGCGCGGCGCTCCCGGCGGCGCAGGGGGCGGGGCGCCTATATTACGTGCGCGGCGCCGCCCCTGCGAGAGGACGTTGCGTGCTCGCTCGCGCCAGGCGAGTCTCCGCGTCTCCCTCGCGAACTCGGTGAAAGGAATTGGCGCCGTTCGACACCAGGCGGGTCCGCTCTGCAGCACGAACCCACCTCCAGCCGCAGCCGCAGCCGCCGCCCGGGCCGACGAGCAGCCGCAGCAGCCGCCACCAGTGGCCGAGCGAGCGGAGCCGAGTTTGAGCCAGCGCCTAGCGGTGAATCGGGGCCCTCACCATGAGTTCCTCGCCTGTTAATGTAAAAAAGCTGAAGGTCTCGGAGCTGAAAGAGGAGCTCAAGAAGCGGCGCCTTTCCGACAAGGGCCTCAAGGCCGAGCTCATGGAGCGCCTCCAGGCCGCGCTGGACGACGAGGAGGCCGGCGGCCGCCCCGCCATGGAGCCCGGGAACGGCAGCCTCGACCTGGGCGGGGATTCCGCCGGGCGCTCGGGAGCAGGCCTCGAGCAGGAGGCCGCGGCCGGCGGCGACGAGGAGGAGGAGGAGGAGGAAGAGGAGGAGGAAGGGATCGCCGCGCTGGATGGCGACCAGATGGAGCTAGGGGAGGAGAACGGGGCCGCGGGGGCGGCCGACTCGGGCCCGATGGAGGAGGAGGAGGCCGCCTCGGAAGACGAGAACGGCGACGATCAGGGCTTCCAGGAAGGGGAGGATGAGCTCGGCGACGAGGAGGAAGGCGCGGGCGACGAGAACGGGCACGGGGAGCAGCAGCCTCAACCGCCGGCGACGCCGCAGCAACAGCCCCCACAGCAGCGCGGGGCCGCCAAGGAGGCCGCGGGGAAGAGCAGCGGCCCCACCTCGCTGTTCGCGGTGACGGTGGCGCCGCCCGGGGCGAGGCAGGGCCAGCAGCAGGCGGGAGGTAAGAAGAAGGCGGAAGGCGGCGGAGGCGGCGGTCGCCCCGGGGCTCCGGCGGCGGGTGAGTGCTGCGTTGTACGTTGCGCGCGGCGGGAGGCCCGCGCGGGGTGGGGACCGTGCCCCAGGCCTGCCGGAGCCCCGCCGGGGGGAGGGAGCCCCGGGCGGGGGGGGGTCGCCGCGGGGGTGGCGGAGGGGGGGAGGGGGCGCGGGAGGGGGGGAGGGGGCGCGGGGGAATCCCGCCCGGCCGCGAGGCCTCGGGCTCGGGGCGTGCGACGGCGGCGCCTCCATTATGTGGCTGGCGAGCCGGGGGTGGGGGTTGGAGGGGGGGGAGCTGCAGCTGCCGCTGGAGGGGGAGGAGCGGCGGGCGGGAGCCCTGTCGGCCCGCGGTGGCGCCGCCGCGCTGCGTGCGCGCGGTGCGGGCACATGTCTCGGGGGGAGGGGAGAGGCCCGAGGGCCCGGGGCGGGCGCGCTTTGGCGGCGCTGGGCCGCGGTATTGTGCAAGGAGCGCAGGGTCTCGGCGTGACGTCACTTCCGGCGGGAGGGGCCGGGCGGGGAGAGCGGGGCGGAAGATCAGTACAATGCGGCCGCGGGGAACGCGGGCCCGGGTGGGGGAGGGGAGGGGAGGGGAGGGCAGGGCGCGCGGGCCGGCCCGGCCCCTCCCCCCCTTCCTGAACTCTCTTTGGGATACACGTGGGCTCGGGGTCTGTGCCGCGCTAGCCTGCAGGAGCTTTCTCGAATCTTCGCGTAGACTGGCAAAATTAGCGGTGGCTTCGGACTGCGTCACCAGCTCCGGTCCGGTTCTGAGCTGATTGTTCTTTGCGGTCGCGGTGGATTCGTCGGTTGAAAACCCTCCCGAAAAAGAACGGGAAAGTCGAGCTTTTGGCGCCCCCAAGCAGGAACGGGGTTTTTCTCTTCCGCCGTGGCGCGGCTTTGGCCCCTTACGCGGGGGTGTTGTGTGTTGTAGGAGACGGCAAAACAGAGCAGAAAGGCGGAGATAAAAAGAGAGGTGTGAAAAGACCTCGAGAAGATCACGGCCGTGGATATTTTGAGTACATTGAAGAGAACAAGTATAGCAGGTTAGAGGACGCCCGTGTAGTTCTTCTCGCTTGCCCGCCCGCTCGCTCTTGGGTAGGACGAGCTGAATCCGGAGACAATTCTGTCTTTCAGAGCCAAGTCTCCCCAGCCACCTGTTGAAGAGGAAGATGAGCACTTCGATGACACAGTGGTTTGTCTTGATACTTGTAAGTGAAGCTGTTTCTTCCCTCTACTCCCCTAGTGACTCAGGTGTGGCGGTTTGGGTTCGAGAGCGGTAGAAAACCGTAACGCAGTGCACTGAACTTAACCAAGCGCAGAACTTAGCGTAAACCGTTTCTTTTAAAAGCAGGAAGGCAATGGCTTGTATTCAGATTTCGGTAGCTCAGTATTTAGTACCGCATCGGTAGTGTCCTATTGGTAATTTTCCAGGCTTCGGCAATTTGGTTATGTATTTTTTTTTTAAATATGATTCGAAAGCTCTCATTTGCAGGAATGTAAAGTTAATGCTAGTTTTTCGATTTTCGTTAGCTAATGGAAACATGTTAAGACTGTAACTTGTCCTTAAAGGCTCCTACAATAATTTCCTTTTTTTGGCTAGAATTCTAGTAAGTGAGCTATTTTGGGCTAGTTGAATATGTAATTGATGGCTTTTCCCATTAGCACGCAAGTGTATTCCCTATTCTAAAAGATTGTAATATTACTTTTTCAATAACTGCTCTTTTGTTCTCAATTCCAGTTCAGTAGCTGCTGCTTTAACATAAGTTGATTTCTTCCAAAGACCTGGGGCAGCAGCAGTGGGCTATCACGGGGCTACTAGCTTTCTTCAGCAGCGAATGGTGTCAATGGCAGCGTTGTAAATTCTGCTACTTTACCCAGTTGGGTTGCAATTGAGTATGAGAAGTATTGCAGACCTCTAGATGGGCCTTGGCTGTCACATGTGTGAATTTTTTTTTTTAAACGAAAACATTTCGTTGGCTTAATATTTGATCAGAAAGCACAATCCTTTCACTTGGATAAAAAGAACAAAGAGTAGAAATCATGGCTCGAAAAGTGGTAAGGTGTGAACCTGCCCTATAGAGCCAGGCAGTTAAAGTTTAAAGTTTTCCGATAACAAGAGTTAATTTTAATCAGATTTGTGAGGATGTAAACGTTAACCCTGGGTTTTTTACTAAATGTCCTTTACAGGTAGTTAGCTAAGGGAGTCTTTTAAAAACGAACATGCACATGGAAAAGTAGTTGATATGAGAGTTTTAAACATAGTTCCGGTTGCTTAAATACGAACTATGCGGCCATTGGCCAGACAGTGAGGCAGTGATTCCAGAAGTCACACTCCTATCAAAGCAGGCTTTTAATTCGTTAATTAGGGATATCAACACCTTAATTCGCTATCTATATCGGGTACAAACACAATTTGTTGAGTCAAAAGTTCTATCAGTGATAAGGAATTTGGAGAGCAAAGCTTAATATTTAAGGAGAATTCCCAACTAGGTTTCCTTTCCTTTCATCAATAAGAACTGTTTAAGGAAACAGTTTTTTAACTTTAGTTCTCAAGGGAGAACTCCAAGAAGGTGCATACTAAATGAGCCAGTGACCCAAAGGTAGCTAAGTTAAAGACCTTTTGGATTTGGATAATCCCGGGAAGTGGATAATCCTCCATTGTTATTGACTAACTGACAAGCCTGAGGAAAAGGGACTTGAAGATGCTGTAATATTAACCGCGTCAGACGACCAGGTTTGCACTTTGTAGGGTTGAGGTTGCCTTCACAAGTTGCAGAGAGAATTTAGGATCTAGAGCCCCTAGTGTTTTAAAACTACAAAGTGCAGGATCAACGGCTCAGTATTCCTGTATTTTAAAATACGTGGTCATGGCCTACCTTCAGTTTTATTGTGGCACGGGTAAATTCTCCCTGGTTCTGGCATACTTCACTTTGATTTCCTGCTATCCTCTACTGCTTGCCTCTAAATCAAGGTAAAGAGCAGAGCAGGTATGTATCCATGTCACATTGTCTTGATTATTTTATATATTTAAAATACACGTGAAACCTTGCTGTTTTAGTTTTGTAGGCTTTTGACGCTTTAGTTTGTAATTTGTCGAGAGTGACTTGGTGTGGGGGTGGGGCTTAAGCTGAAGGTCAGAGCAGCAGCATGGTCCGTGGTAGCAGTGTCTGGGAAGCACTAGGAAATGCGCAAGAATGTAATCACCGGGTTTTTTCTATGTAGCAGATGTATTTACGTGGGATGTCGAAAGAAATAATATGGTATTTTGATATAATTACAGATAATTGTGATCTGCATTTTAAAATATCAAGAGACCGCCTCAGTGCTTCTTCCCTTACTATGGAGAGCTTTGCTTTTCTTTGGGCTGGAGGAAGGGCATCCTATGGTGTGTCAAAAGGCAAAGTCTGTTTTGAGATGAAGGTAAATGCAGTTTTGTGATTTTTTTTTTTTTTTTTTTAATTTTTTTAAAGCAAGTGAATTTCCATGTGCTTGACACTATGTGGTGTCTGGAGCTTCTTGTCTTTGAAGTTTCCGTGGACTGGAAGAGGGGCTTGGAATACCTTTGCTTTCTAGCTGTTAACCATGTGTGTTACATCCGAATTTATGTTATTGAGCCAGCCCATTTTTATTTAGGGTGCTCCTTTTTTATCAGGCACTTTCAGAAAGGCCCACCAAGGGTTTAAAAATAACTGTTAGGTTTCTGGTTTTGTTCCAGAGCAAAACATGCTGAGTGTACACTTTAATTGGTTTTGAGTCAGGAATATGTAATTTTTAAATATTAACTGTTCTTTTCAGTGTGATCCAACCAAGTACTTAACTTGAACCTTTTCAATTTCAAGTCATAAGTTCTTCCAATTTGTAAAGTGCTGGTTGGGGGGAGATGGCAGGGGTAGATTGGGTGTCTTTGTATTCGTCACCAGAGAAGAATCAGCCCACGGCCCAGATGAAATAAGCTCGTGAGTTCAAGTGTTTATCTTCGTCGTAATCATTTTGTGATTTGATTTTTAGGTTACAGAGAAGATCCCAGTGAGGCATTTATATACAAAAGATATTGACATACATGAAGTTCGGATTGGCTGGTCACTAACCACAAGTGGAATGTTGCTTGGTAAAGTTTCCATTAGAGTACTCTCCTCATGAGTGTTTAGGGTCGGTTTTCAGTAGTTTGACTAGAAGGTATTCTAAATCTCCTGCCTGTTCTTAACCTGTTTTGTTAGTATTTAAAAGATGAATGGTGTTAGCATGTGTAGTAGGATGGTTACTTGTTTTACGACCAGTGGTTTAAAAAAAAAAACACCAAACCCTTATCCTATGGTATGCAGTTTTTCAGAGTTCATAAAGCCGTGTAGCCATTAATTGTCTGTATTTTAGATACAGTATAAGTGGAACATTAGGTTAGATACTCCTTTCTTTTGTTGACTTCCACCCTGAATGTTAAAATATGTGGGTCACGGGACTGTTTTGAACAATCGATTTCATGAGAGTTCATTATTTTCTTAGGTGAAGAAGAATTTTCTTATGGGTATTCTCTTAAAGGAATAAAAACCTGCAACTGTGAGACTGAAGATTATGGAGAGAAATTTGATGAAAATGATGTGATTACATGTTTTGCTGTAAGTTACCTAAGTTTCTATAAGTGAGAAATTTATTAGTTGGGGATTTTTTTTTTTTTTTTTTAAAGATTACTCAACAGTACTTCAGTACTTCAACCTTCCTCTGACTGAAAACTGTTTAACATGAACTGGATCTGAAAAATGTAGTGAATTTACTAAAAGAAGTATCATTTCAGCTTCTAGATGTATGTGTTTCGTTGTTTACAAGTATTAAAAAGCTCTTAACGTTTAATCTCCGTATGTTTTCCATAGGATAAGCTTTACTTGTTTGAATTTAGAAGTTTTTTGTTTTTTTGTTTTTTTTTTTAAAGAAAGTTGAAGCCGGTTAAACCGTAATTTTTTCCCCCCAATTTAACAGAACTTTGAAAGTGATGAAGTTGAGCTCTCCTATGCAAAGAACGGGCAAGATCTTGGCATTGCCTTCAAAATCAGTAAGGAAATTCTTGCTGGAAGGCCACTCTTCCCGCATGTTCTCTGCCACAACTGTGCAGTTGAGTTTAATTTTGGTCAGAAGGAAAAGCCATATTTTCCAATACCGGAAGATTACACTTTTATCCAGAATGTCCCCTTAGAGGATCGAGTTAGAGGACCAAAGGGGCCTGAAGAGAAGAAGGATTGTGAAGTAAGTGGATTTTTTTTTTTAAAGTGATTGAAGGTTATTTTTGTTGGGCAAGCATGACCGGAAGCTCTGGACAATTGGTCTGTTTCATCTGCTTTGTGGCACACCTGTTGGCATCAGCCATAGCAGCATTCTTTTATGTAGAATGTTGTTAACCCAAAATTCCTTGTTTTCAGGTAGTGAAAATTTACATTATTTAAACTGGGTTTTTGTGCACTTAAGAAAAGACTTGGGGTATTTTTAGGTGGCTCTGCTAAGTGAAATGACGTTTTCTTCCACCGTAGGTTGTTATGATGATTGGCTTGCCTGGGGCTGGGAAAACTACCTGGGTCACTAAGCACGCAGCAGAAAACCCCGGTAAATACAACATTCTTGGAACAAACACCATAATGGATAAAATGATGGTAAGTAAGGTATTTGAGGATGTGATAGCAGGATTTAAAAAGTCCAGAAGGTATTCTAACTTTTTTGCCTGTTGTCTTTATCCATTTGTTGGTGCTTTAGAGATAGGAACTTGGGCAGAGTTCCATTGGTTACTTACACTGTAGAAAGAAGGCTATAAAGTAAACTCCCTTTATCTGGAAGGTGAAGCGCATTCCAGTGGCAACACTTGGCTTTTCTATAAAACTTTTTGAACTATTAGCTTTCAGTAGCTAAACTAGATTTGAAGAGCAGATCTTGCTACAAGATAAAGTGACCTTTTTTTTGTAGCGATCATAAGGAAAGGCAGTATTTAAAATTCACAACGTCTGGTTTTGACGTAGAGCTAAGCTGTTAAAAAAAGTTTAAGCTTAAACAGATGAATGTAAGGGAAGGGAAGCAAAAATAGTATAAAAACGGGTAGGGACAAAAACAGAAGAGACTTAAATATGGAGAACAAACGGTTACTGGAGGTGGTGTTGGGGGGGGTGGAGGCGCATTAAGGAATCCAGTCCTGAAGTCACTGTTGCACTAGATGCTAACTTGGGTGTAAATTTAAAAAATAAATTAAAAAAAAAAAAAAGTGAATCTTTATTCTCAAGTTCAAAGGGACTGTTGACCTTGTAAACCAGGTGGCAGGTTTTAAGAAGCAGATGGCTGATACCGGCAAGCTGAACACGCTGCTGCAGAGGGCCCCACAGTGTCTCGGGAAGTTCATTGAGATCGCTGCCCGCAAGAAGCGACATTTCATTCTGGATCAGGTGAGCCGGACTCTGAGGTTGAGAGGAGGAGCTGATGACTGGGCTTGGCGTGGAGCTAACGTTTGGGTTTATAAACTTTGTTTTAAAGACCAACGTGTCTGCCGCTGCCCAGAGGAGAAAAATGTGCCTGTTTGCAGGCTTCCAACGAAAAGCTGTTGTAGTTTGCCCAAAAGATGAAGACTATAAGCAACGAACACAGAAGAAAGCTGAAGTAGAGGGGAAAGACCTACCGGAACACGCAGTCCTCAAAATGAAAGGCACGGAATTTGATTCTATTAGCCGTGATCGTGATCTGTACACTTATATGAAACTGCTTGTATGTGGTTTCATAAGTTATGTTACCTCTTGGTACAGGGGTGTGGTTCCTTTATGTCTGTTTTTGGGAAAAGGCTCGGACCCCATGAGTGGATGGTGTAGTGTGGTTTGAAAGAATGAGAGCTGCTCCAGTTGCAGGCTTTGGGATTGCACTTTTAAGCTAATCTGACCTTACTCCTTGTAGGAAACTTCACGCTGCCGGAGGTGGCTGAGTGCTTTGATGAAATAACCTATGTTGAGCTGCAGAAGGAGGAGGCCCAAAAACTTTTGGAGCAATATAAGGAAGAGAGCAAAAAGGCCCTTCCGCCAGAGAAGAAGCAGAACACTGGCTCCAAGAAGAGCAATAAAAATAAGAGTGGCAAGAACCAGTTCAACAGGGGCGGTGGCCACAGAGGACGTGGCGGGTTCAACATGCGCGGCGGAAATTTCAGAGGGGGAGGTAGGTTCGCTTCGGAGGGTTTCCTTTGTTGGCGCTTCCAGGTTCGAGCAAGGGCTGATGGTATTTTTTTAGTTGGGGTCTGATGTTTAACTGAAGTTCACGTAGGACGTTTGGTCTCGCGTTGACTCTGTCGCTCTAGTAACTAGTTTGAAATCTTTCTGCGATGTGATCCTAAGCACACCTAGTTAGTGAAGGGTTAAATTAAACCTCGATCTCGTCTCTTTTCTTTTTAAACATTTATGTGTTTTAAGGGCTCTTGTACGCTCGCGGCGGTGGGAGGGGTGGTGGAGAATCCCCAGGAGGCTCCGTGCTGTCAGCACAAGGCCCCCAGCGGGGCTCGGTACCGCAGACCTTGACACGAGGGCCTGAGCTGAAATCGAGAGTCAGGCGCCTACCTGACTGAGCCAGGCAGGCGCCTCACTGTTTTTAAGTTACTCTCTGTACGATAGAGGACCGGTCGGGAAGACTCTGGAGTCCCCTGGAAAGGAGGCACGAGACTCTAACTGAACGCATCTCATCTTCAGCTCCTGGGAACCGCGGCGGCTACAACAGGAGGGGCAACATGCCGCAGCGAGGCGGCGGTGGCGGCGGCAGCGGCGGCATTGGCTACCCGTACCCTCGCGGCCCCGTGTTCCCCAGCCGAGGCGGCTACTCGAACAGAGGCAACTACAGCAGAGGTGGAATGCCCAACAGAGGGAACTACAACCAGGTAAGGGTCTCCTGGACTTGGGGAAGTTGTGCGATACGATGTCACCGCATCAGAACGGCAGGTGGGAGCGCGGCGACGCAGGAGCGCTGGAGCTGGTCTCACAGGGCCGCTAGGGTTCGGGTGCACGAGCCAGCAACACTTGGCCCAGGAGGTCTGAATGAGTGAATGAAACCCCCAGAGGAAACGACTCGGGACGCCCAGGGTGGAGTCGCTAGAGGCCTGTCCTGTGTGCCGCCGCCTCTCCCTTGTGCAGCCCTTCTGGAGCTGTGCTCGGAGATTTTTAAGGATTTCCTTTTCTTCCCCCCCACCCAGAACTTCAGAGGACGAGGAAACAATCGTGGCTACAAAAACCAATCTCAGGGCTACAACCAGTGGCAGCAGGGTGTAAGTAACAACTTCTGTGTTCCGTACATTCATTGTGCCTTAAGTTCATCGTAAGAGTCAGTGTCACCGCTTGTGCAGGGATTGGAGTGTTGATCAGTGTGACAGGGCGAGGTTTGAACATAGGTGGAGTTGGCTGTAACTTATTGTTTTACTGAAGTAATATTCTTTAATACGTACGGTTCTTTTTATCGCTAGTTGTAATTGTATAAACTAACCAAGTCGTGATGTGTTTTCTTTCGTAATGTGCTTATTGGTAATAATGGGATATTAATACTAACTCGATCTGGTTTGATAGAAATCAGAGGTATGACAGGCGTAAATTTGTTTCCAGCAATTACTCTGAATTAGATTGTCATTTCCTAAAAGCAATTTGAGTGGCTTATTGATGTTTTTTCTTTAAAAAAAAAATTTTCTCTTACAGCAATTCTGGGGTCAGAAGCCATGGAGTCAGCATTATCACCAAGGATATTATTGAATACCCAAATAAAACGAACTGATACATATTTCTCCAAAACCTTCACAAGAAGTCGACTGTTTTCTTTAGTAGGCTAACTTTTTAAACATTCCACAAGAGGAAGTGCCTGCGGGTTCCTTTTTTAGAAGCTTTGTGGGTTGATTTTTTTTCTTTTCTTTTTTGTACATTTTTAATTGCAGTTTTAAAGTGAATCGTAAGAGAACCTCAGCATTGTGCACGATAAGAGAATGTGTCAGTATTTCAGGGTTCTACATTTTATCTGTAAAATGTGACTTTTTTTTTTTTTATCACAACAAAAGTAAAATGTTGCTTTGTACCTGGTGTCTTTTATTAAGAATTTACTCCCCCCATTTCTCACAGAGATAACAGTCGGGAGTCATTGTCACAATATAATAGAAATGTTAGCAGCCAGATCCGTGGGAGGACCGCGCGGTCCCCAGGAATCGCCTGAGACTCTGTACCGCCCCTAGGACACTCCATCCTCTCTGTAGCCTGCCGCGCGGCGGAGGGGGAAGCTCATCGTAGTTCCTGACCATAACTGGGAAGTCTCTTTTCTTTTTCCTTTAAAATAACAACGGAATTGGCACAATTGGGAACGAAGATAAAACTTGGAACCAAGAGAGAGAAGATGGAGTGTACGTAGAAGGGCTGTTCTCAATGTAAAACTTTGGTTGCATTATTTGTGGAGGCTCAAACTTGTGAAGGTTAAATACCATAATTTTTCCATTTGTTCTGCATTTTGATTCTAAAAGAAAGCTGGCTTTGCCCATTTCTTATTAAAAAAACTTGTTGTAAATCCAGTTGTCTAATGGGATCTATATGAAGTTAGCGATGTCTGTATGCCCTTCTCCCACAAAATACTGTACCACTAGTGTGCTTGTAGTACTTTACTCCACCGTCTTTGTAAGCTAATGAAATTGTGAGTCACCCATTTATATCTTAATTTTTAATCATGTCAGTTCTTGAATGGGTATCTCCTTAGCCTGCTGATTTCTTTTTCTTTCTAAAGAAAGTGGGTGGAGAAATTAATTTAGACGTTTGTTTGCAATAAAAAGAATTCATTTTACTCTCGTTTTGGGATTCTCGCCATCAAGGTTCAAAATCCCTTTATAAAACTCCCAAGAGGAGGAAATTTAAGTGTGTGCTCTCTGGACAGCTTATTCTGTACTCTGTACTTGCAACATTTAGGTTTTAAAAACTTAAATGTATACTGACCATTGACTTTAATTAAGTAAAGTTGAATCCTTCCTTCCCCTCCCCCCCACAGACGACTTAACATTTAACGAGGGGAAAAGGTGCACTGGCTGCTGGGAGAAGTTAACCCTCTGTTTACCATCTTTACGAAATGCTAACGGCTGTCCTCAAGTGAATATCTTAAATACGCATATATGTGATACGTGAGACTCTGGGAACAGATGCTTTTAGAAGCCATCATGCAAGCCAGTCATTTCACGACTACACAACGCTGCTAACTTAACTGTAGCTATGTGACCGCATTAGATCCCCTAATCGTAATTCTATTGGGTTTGCACAGAACACTTAATCTTCTAAAGGACCCTCACTGATGTGAAGTGAGGAATCAGGAGTCAAACTGTAGAACTAAAACTTGACTTCAGTCTAGAACTTGGTTGGTGTTTTAGGCTGCTTCTGGAAAGTTGAGGTTCGTGTGTTATTTCTGTTGGCTTAGACTTTTGTTTTTAGCCCTCTTCGATTAGACTGTTCACTTCTTCAGACTCTGAGGCATTCTGCTACCGGCTGAGTGGGAGTGGAGTTTAAATGGCGGTGTAGGTTTAGGCTGATACATTTTGGGAACAGGCTAATCCTGGAATTACCGTAGAGCATACTTAACAGTACAAGAGAGCGTCTTCGGGGTTTTTGGTTTTTTTAGCAGTTGAGTTTAGTGCTAGCAATCACTGGCATTAACTGTATCATATCGTACACGCTATGATTATTCGGATTGCGTAAACCTACCCAGGGGAAGAAGAGGTTTCAACCTTGTTGCTCATCAGTGCTCTAGGTACTTTGGAAAAATCTTGGGTCTCCCTTCTAGCTTAAGCCTGCTTACCGAGGAATTCACCCTCTGACGGTAGTGGGGGAGCAAGGGCCCAAGTCACCCTGTTTGGCAGACCGCCTTCCCTTGCGTAGCCCAGGAGAGTTTGGGAAGACCAGTGGAGTAGATGAAAACCCTGTCCGGGAAAGTGGTGACATGGCCAGCAGCAGTCTCCAGAGGAGAATGAAATCTGCCTGGAAAGGAATAATCTTCGTGTTTGGGGAATTTGGGAGAGGGGAGTGTAGCGAATAGCGAGCAAAAGGGAGAAACAAGAAATGCCACTTGGCGGAGTAAGATGTATGTGTGACGGGGAAACTGGGTACATTGCCTGCCCCGACTCCAGGTGGTCCCTCCGTGGCAGCAAGAGCCCAGTGAACAAGAGCTAGCTGGTGCTTTTCCCTAGAAAGTTCCGCGGGTGGTCTTGTCTGCCCCGAGTGAGGTATTGGATCAGATTGGTTAATCAGGAAAGAGGGCAAATCACTGCCACGTAGAAACGAAGTAACAACCCTTGTCCTGTAGAGCATTTGCCTCCTTGATGGTGGGTTCCATCTTGTCGCTCCTGTCTGGCCTTCGGCGGAGGGCTCTGGCTCGGACCTAGGAGGCTAGGACTAACTTGTGGCCCTTCGTGGCCAGACAGTAAGATGAAATCATAGAATGAAGCACGAGTGAAGTCAGTCTGGCAAAAGGAAGCTGTATTAAATTCACAAAACCAGAAGCTCACGCTTGCCCAGGATAGACTCTGAAAATAAGGGCCATGTCCTGAGCACTGACAACAAGGTATTAAAGCTTCTTAAAGACCACTTGCTTTGAAAAAGCATGTAAAATTTTTCCAGGAAAAGTAATATTGGAGTACGTTTTCCACCTTCTGGAGAATTAACGTTCATGGACATACTGTGTTCTGTATTTAATACGTGCATCAGTTGTGGGAGTTGAATGACATTTTTCTGTAAGCTTGATACAAATTGGCTTTTTGTCCTAGGCCCATTTTCATAATAGGTCCTGTTGCACAAATAAAAACGTATTCCCATAGCTTTTTAAGCTTGGGATAGACTTCAGACACGTACAAAGAACGGATTATAGGTCTATAGGAGTGTATCTGGTACTTTTAAAAAAAAAAAAAACCCAGAATAAACTTCTAAGGAAGCTATAAACCTGTCTCTTACAGCCCAAGTCTTAGTTTCTGGTACCAGACATAAATGTACATCTTAAAACCGTTTCCACGATTCCCTTTGTACACGTAAGTATACAGTGGCTTTTTAAAAGTGGGTGGATGTAGCAGAGAGAAGTTCGCCACCCCCAACCCCCAGAATATTCCTTGAAATACTCTGGAAAGAGGAGTACAATATTCTTTCAAAAGCCAGGTTTACCTACAATACCAAAAATGGTTTGAGTCTAAACTTTGTCGTCCTTGGTGTTCCTGGGGCTTTCAGAGAAGCAGCTTAACATTGCAGGAATGGTAGATCCAGAGCAAGGATATGGATTGTTCAGGGCCTTGGCAATAGATCACGATGGTTATGCACTGGCATTAAAGGGAACACTGAATTAGTATTTGGACTAACTGCGTTAGCTTGTCAGTTTGAATTTATCAGTTACATCAAACTAGCCTCTTTGAATTTGAATGGTAATTGCCTAAACTTACCTAAAACTATAATGCCCTCCTGCTACGTGGAGCCTTTTGTTTGGATTTAGGTTTGAATTTTCTTCTCAGCCCTTTTTTCTTCAGCGTCTACAGTAAAACACGGGGGTTGTGTGTGTAACCAGGTTAGTGGTTTTTTTTTTTTTTTTTAAGAGGTTCCCTGATGCCGGTGTATTTTACCCTGGTGCCAGAACTGCAGGTACATGTTAGACAAATCCTAAAAATCCTTTATGCAGCTAACTCATGTTGAAGCGAGTGACCTCAGTCTTGTCTTATTTTTTTAACTTTGTTGTCGAAGGTAAACTCTTCAGAATTATTACAGAAGTGATCTAAAAGTGTGCCGATTGATGCAGTGTCTATCTCTTGAGCGTGTTGGGGTAGACAGAAAAACCAGGACCCCCGAGTATCTCCAAAGTTTTAATTCTGTATATGCAAAATCGAAGAGTTGAAATAACCTACCTAAACAGCTAATGATTGTTTTGCTAAAAATACGCACGCTACTTTATTTGGTCATTACACTTAGTCGATTGCAACACGCGTGCGGCTGGAGCCCCCAGACGAGCACTTAAGATAGGTGAGAGATGGCTGACAATGTGCACATAGAGTAAGTGACATACACAGTCACGTCCTAACCAGCTGACTAAATATAAAATGAGTATGTCTAGTGCGTCCAAGGAACTTAGTCTAGAAGGCTCAGTAGATTGTAAGTACTGTGTTCATAATGTTAACCAGAATCATTTTAAAAATACTTGTGTATTTTGTGAAGTTAGGTTGTGCTGTCCACGTGGAAAGCTGAATAACTACAATTTTTTGGTATTACATAGGTCCTGGGGCATTCGGTTGTGACTGTAGAGCAGTTACTTGTAGGGGAACAAATAAAGCCAGCCCGTCAGTAATCTGCTTGGGAGATAACTAGGGGAGTTATCGGGACAAGGACCTTTTAACTGTGTTTAAATTTGTACTTACTTAATTATTGCCTAGGAGTATCACGATTTTTTTCTCCCCTTTCATGCCAGGATTCAGCGTATACTTGCATCTTGACAAGGAACAGGGGTTTTGCTTTTTTAAACAAAGCTGGATGTGTGGGTATGAGAAACAATATTCTAGAGTCAAAAGCGGTGAGGTAAAAACAGTCTAGATAAACAGAGAACGTGTCTCAGAGAAGATTCACGTTGGCTGCACCGTTACCAATTGCATCGCTGTACCTGCGTTCTCTGGAGCATGTCTGCTCCATCAGCGCAGGCCGGACGGCTAGCCTCGCTACTTGATAAACACGGAGCTGTTGATGGCATGCTTTTCCCTGCCATTCCTGTAACATGTTGTCCATGAGCCCACAGGAATTGGCTTTGCGCAGTGAAATACTCGGCACTTGCCAAGCGCCTCAGGAGCACACTCAACAAGTTAGGGTCAGCAAAAAAAATTAAAAAGGCCAAGAACAGCAAGGTGGCCAGTATAGTCTGCTGACCTGAGCCAGAAACCCCTTGAAGTTGTTATTAAGGCATCCAGAGAGGTGAGGGGAAAATCGGAACTTCAGAAGAATGTTTACTAGAAAGGCAACTAACGATAATTTTTTTAGGTAGCTCTTAATAGAAGGTATCCTTACGTCTCCGTTGTCTAGTTGAAGGGAGTGGGAGCGTCATGGTCAAGTACAATCAAAGATTCCAGCCTAATATATCTATTTTTTTTTAAGTAATAAAGCAAAAAAAAAAATGCTGATTGAAATTTCATCTCCTTTTCCTTAGTCTGTCCATGTGAATGTGCTGTGTGGAAGAGTAAAGGGCCCAACTAAATGTGTTCCAGTGATTCCAATAGGTATTCCAAATTCATTGCTGCTTGTACATTTCATACTTGTTCTATCGGGCTTCCAGGATCACCTTAATTAGAGGTCCCTTATTTAAAAGTACGGGATAGGGAGATGTTGGTAACTGATGGGCTAGATTTCTAGAAACCGGAAGACCAGGTTTTTTTCCTTTTGCCCTTCGCACCCAGGTGTGCTGTGTAGCTGTGTTGGTAGGGTGGTGGCCCCCCAATAGGGTTAAGGCTGCGTATGCAAATAGAGCTGAGTCCTTAAAAGGTTAGATCCTTAGTTCAAATTCCTTCTGTTGTTAACTTTCTGGAAGACATTCATTTTCATATACTCACTTGTAGAGTTTACTGAAAATACTTTAATTCAGAAAACTGTCCAGGACACCTACGTCCTTGTTTTCCCTCCGTCTTTCTTCTGCATCTGTGCTAACTGCACAAATGCTTTGTTCTTCATTAGTTTATAAACATGTCGAAAATAGATTGAGATCCTTTTGGATAATGAGATAGGACTCGATACCAAAATGGGAAAATCAACAAGGAAGTAAATTTAATTGTGAAGACAGAAGGACAAAAAAGGCTCAGTGCGAGCTCTCTGATAGTGCCGGTCCAGAGCATGTAATTTCTCATTGCCCTGAAGTCGTCCTTTAAAGGCTTGATAAGCTTAGAGGGAAATCTGTTGGGTACTATAGTGAGTTGAAATGTAGCTCAATGAAATAGAGCTCCACTGTGTCCCCTAAAAATCTAATGGCTCCTCAAAGAGCAGACTACTCTGTTTCAGACTAAAAAGTAAAAACCTGATTTTGTTCACTGGAGGAAGAAAACCCTTACAAGAAAAACATTTGTTTCAGAAATGAGCTTTGAATTCGGATAGCAAAGCATAGCTTTCATAGGACTTGGCCTCACGGTCCACAGGGAAGAAATGTGGAAACTGCTCCATTAAGAAACTAGAATATACAGGTTGTTTAGTAGATTGTCTAAGGAGAGGCCATACAATAGGTTTATAGCACATGGAACGTAACTAAGTTTTTCCTAGGAAAGTGGAACAGGTACCCGTTGTTGTAACAGAAGCATGAACAGAAGGCTTTTTAAATTGGTGCCTGCTCATATTAATGTAGTCGCTGCTGGTTTTGTCAAAATAGAAATACTTGGGAAACAAACGGCTTTATTCTAGAAAATGAGTAAGGCAAGCATACCTGCAACAATCTAGTGCCCGCGGTTCCAGCTTCAACAAGTAATACCTTGAGAAAGAGCTTTGTGATGAGCTTTGTCCCTAAAGCTTCCTATTTTAAGAGAAAAAAGATGGACCTTCCTGCATAAAATCGGCCATGTAAGACGCCAGCATTTGGGTGGTAGAGGATATTGGTGTATTGTGTTGTCCGGGTTGGATGACCACTGGACCATATTTTAAGATGCTTCCAAAAATGATTCTAGAGAACCAATTAAAAATCGGCATTCTAGCACTCACTTTATTTTTTCTACTTATTAAGACTTTCTGTGTACCCAAACTGTAGTACGTATATTAACGTGACTTTTAAAGGGGTGCCTTGACCCCCATCCACTACAGATTTTTATCTAGGAATAGAAGGATTCAAACCCCATTTGATCCCTAGCTCTTTGCTGAAAAGCGCATAAACAGGAATCCTGAATTTATTATATAGACCTCCTCGCATTATATAATCGAAGCAAAGGGAATCCAGCGATGGAGTATAGAGGTACGTAGACTAAAAAGATGCTTGCAAATCAAATAACGGTACTAGGAATAGTTAAAATTTCTTTGTTGCCAAACTTGGTCATTATAAATCACAAGTCCAGAGAAAAGCTGCTAGTTAATTTTCACTTCCCTGAGGTCCTTTTAACTGTGACGGAAAAGCCAAGTAGTCGAGGGAGGGGTGAGGGAAGGGGGGAAATGCATAGAGCAACTAGAAAGACTTAAAGCATTGTAGATAAGCCACGAAACGTTTTTAAAACTACTAATGACCACAATTCTATTTTAATCAGCTATTTAGCTGGTATCTACTGCTAGATCACCTAGTGTGAAGTTTTGGAATTAATGGAACAGTGAAAGCTGCAATGCACCTGCAGGCCCCCCTCTGCAGGCATGGAAGGTAGGTTACTCTTCTTCCGGATCTGTCCCATGGTGGGTGTGTGGGTGAGTGGGGACCTGGGCTCGGTCTACAGTTTAACAGACACCTGGGGACTGTGTCTAGCCATGCCCGGAGGTGGGGAATGTAAAGAGGAAAGTTGACAAGTTCTTGCCAAAAAAACTCAGGCTCTACCTGTAGCCCTGCCTGTGACCGGAATGGGAAGGCTTGAGCAGAGGCCCGAGGTCGGGTCACGGTGGCCGGAGGTGCGCTGGAGACGGCCTGAGGTTGGGTGGCAGAGTGAGCGGATGGGGTTGGAGACTAGAAGGGGGATGTGGTCTGTCCGGAGGCCTCAAGGAAGGTGGCCAGCGGCCCACGGGGTACGGGCCTGGAGTGTATCCTAGCCCAGCGGGCTGAGTGTGATTTTACAACCTCTTCATAACTGAGGAAGGAAATAGAAGGTATTAATAATCGTGTAAACTTAGTGATATTTAAAAGTGATCCAAGTAAGTGTGTCACAACTTTTGTTTTTATCCAGGTCTCCAATTTATGCAGTAAACTCTGCTGTGAAAATGAACTAACCTTGTTATTGGTGAAGGCCTTGGAAATTTTTGCCAGCCGAGAGGTTTCTTTTACTCAGGGTAAGATGTAATCCTAGAACGGGAGCGCTAGGTGGGGATTTAGGTGACTTAATCCAATTGCCCAATTTTATGCATTGCCTCCATCTATAAATTGGAGCCGAGAACGGGAGTGACCTGCACACACACAGCGTGTTGAAGGTCAGGTTTGATTAGTACGCCTCGGTGCCCCCCACTCACGCAGATACAGCGCTCCCTCGTAACACGTGAGTAACCCATCACTTTGAATATCCTAGACTGGATTCAGCGTGGACTTGTGTCTGTGGCCAGACGGTCTTGGAACCTGCATTTTCCTTTCCAATAACCTCTCCTAGTGAGTGTTCACGTCCTGCCTTTGGTGGCCACTGGATGACTAGAATATCCTCGGGATATGTGCTGGACAGTGGCAACTGGTAAACCGCGTGGCCTGCGCGCCCTGCCCCTCGGGGGGACAGCCACAGGGAAGGTGGGCATAGGAGGGAAGGTGTTCCCTCTCGTGAATCCAACCAAGCAGGTGCTCCCCACTTACTTTTGAGAAGTGGGACATGACAGAATAAAGTCCCAGGGTATCTTGACCTTGCTCTGTTTCTCTAGCTCACCATGATAGCCAAGTTCTAGGACCGTTAATACCAGAATCCTGTCTGCTGGTCTGTTTTCAGACGTATCGTTTCTTAACCAGGAAGACCCCTAGCTGGTGTTCTGTCTTCCTTAAAAGATTTTCTTGAAAAGTCATGTTGATACTTACTGAACTGAAAAAGAAATAATTCCATTGCTTTGAAAAGGGAGTTTTTTCCTGAATGAATAAATGCTGTGGACTTGGCTGGTTGGGTACCTTGTTTTTTTGTTTTTTTTTTTGGCCTTTTTAAATGGCAGCTGATTGAATTGTAAATGACTCGTTTATATTAATGTAATATGTGTGTGATCTAAACAAGTTCTGCAGATATTTTTGTGCATGCCATGTGTATGCTTAAATTCCATTTAAAAGCTACTGCATACTTCAGAGAACTTGAGAGCATTTAAAAGCAATCTTTACTTGTGGAGAGATCATCCTACCTGTTGTAAGAAATCGAACACTAGGGTCAGGCAGGGAGTACGTTTTTCAAAGAGCATTTCTGCAAAGTTATAAAATCCGTTAGTGTTAAGTCTTACAGTAGCACTTCAGTAGAAACCAGGAAGTATTTCCTCGTTTTTAACAGGGTGCAGTCATGCAGTTAAGTTTTAAAACACAACTGGGAAGAGTCTATTTCTTGAAATGCCATTATTTATACTCTTGCAACAAGGAAACTCTTCTAAGCGCGTGAGGCTGCTAAGTTTGACGAACCCACTGTCTGCTATGCTGGCGGATCAGGAGCAAGAGTAAGTGTGTGTGTGTGTGTGTGTGTTCGTACAAGTGTAGCAAAGAGACTACAACTAATACATACTTTATTTACTTGGTTGAAAGTCACGGCACATACAGGGTTTACTAGCGTGGACCTTGGGCTTGTAGCTAGGTTTTCTGTGCTCGAGGTCACCCACTGCCATCGGCTGGTTTTCTTTGAGGATCAAGGTGGGTACTTTCATACAGAATCTTATTTTTAATTCCTTCTCTGGCCATTCTTTCCTGGATTCTTAGCTTTGCGTGATTATACCTACAATGGAACCTTTTAAGAAAAGAACAGGAGTTAAGTCTTTCTTCAGATAAAAGTTCTAGAAACAGGCTTGAAATTTGTAGTGACAAAAGTCAAGATGCCCTTACAGATGGCTATCCCAGGACTGAAAATACAGCTGTTCTAATTTGGGAGTGCTATGTGGGGGATACTTTGATGTCAAAGAATACTTATGAGCACGTTATGGTTACAGTATGCTTTACATAGAACCTCTTATCTGTGATGTATTCTGGGTCTGGCTTCTTTTTCTTCCCCCCTCAAGAAAACCCATCAGATTCAGGCATGTGTTGTACCAGTAGTTGTGAACACATTCTTAAAGGAGCATTTTCAGATTGATGCCAGAAGCAGGAAGTGAACGTGTAAAAGGCTGAGGCCTTCCTAAAGTAGAAACCATAACTTGGTGCTGATGCAATGTCCTGCATTCATCTGACGAATGGTATAAAATGTGTCTACAGACACAGAGTTGAGATAAAGGCATTCCAGCAGTTCCGTTTTGTACGGCCCGTTTCCATGAAGAGATATTTTTCAGAATAAACACTGAGGGCTGGGGGGGTGGGTGGGTAGTCTTCCAGTGGGAGCTCGCTCAGAACGAGCATGTGCTTGAACTTAGATAAACCTATCGTGATTCTGGACCTTCTTGAATGACTTGGTTACACGTACCAGCATCCTAATGTGACCAAGAGAAATCCTCCTACTCCGACGTCACATGATCTTCTAATCCTACCTGTCAAAAAGCATAACCACTGTAATTAAGTTAAACAGTACATATTAGTCCATCTAGAAAATGTTCATCGTACATAGAGAAACACAGATCCGATACTCACTAGTTAACAAAAAATGTCCGAGGCCAGCTACGACCGATCCTAAGGAACCGTATAATACGGAGTCTCGTGCACAGGGGATGTTCTCAACATCTAGAATTCCTAGGAGCTTAAAGGTCTAGGATGAAATCGAAAAGAACCTGGACTGAGCAAAATATTTTTACTTCCGGGTGATCTGGCAAAGGCTAAACTAAGACATGTGCTGTGTGACAGTGGTGAATCCACACACCGTCTTTGGTCATCGGGCTTTGGCCCTGGGACACCCTGGGAACCTGGCCAGAAAAGCCCATTCCAACAGGACAACGTAAACCCTAAGCGAATTAAACTAAGGTGTTAATACCACAATTTGCTAATTGACTGGTATGAAAATGTGGGCATCCCTCATCCTATGATCTCTCTAAACATCTATGAAAACAGTTATCGCTGATCTGAAAAAGCAAGTTTGCTCCCCGTACTTTGGGAGGCATAGAATGGTAAAAGTAAAGTTATTCTAACCGTGCTTTCTTAAGAGTATGGTGCTGTTTGCTTTAAATTCAACAGTGACTGCAGATTTTATTGCTATTAGGTGAACATCACTTTTGATCATACAAGTAACTTCATGTGCAGATACATGGGTGCACCATCTCCTGGGGTTCCTTACCTGTGGTAAGAAATTGCACTGGACTGTATTTGATTCTTTGTAGATAGTACACGGTAAGCACACCTAGGGATGGGTTTCTCAGCTCAGCCACTAACTTCTACAACCTGTAGGATATATATGTATTTTTTAATGTCTGTGGCCCTCAAATCTGTAATGAAAGGCATTGGGCTATGTGATGATTCAAGTTTCTTCCAAGTGCTAAGATGAACCTTGACATGCTTTTCCTGAGTCTTCATGGATGGACAGACGGACTTGGGCTTCCTGATTAAAAAACATACTGCCCAGCTTAACCTCACATGCTTAGTGTGAATGTCAAATGGAACTCTATTTTCGGGGTTTGGGGAGGGCAGGACATGACTTTTTTAAAGTCACACTTGCTTCGCTGTGACGTGCCTATGTAGGGATTTAATGAGATGGTTTCCTAAAACTTGAGTAAATGCAAGCTTTCAGTAACAGCTTTGTAAAAAGGAAGCAAATTTGTCCATTTAAAGGTTTCAATTACAGGGGCGCCTGGGTGGCTCAGTCAGTTGAGTGTCCCAGCCTCGGCCCAGGTCATGACCTCACAGTCTGTGATGAGTTTGAGCCCCACATCAGGCTGTGTCTGTCTGCTGTCAGCCCTGAAGCTGTCAGTGCAGAGCCCACTTCAGATCCTTTGTCCCTGCTCTGCCCCTCCCCCACTTGCTCTCTCAAAAACACACACTTAAAGAAACTAAAGATTCCAATTATGGGGCACCTGAGGTGTTTCAGTTAAGTGTCTGACCCTTGATTTCAGCTCAGGTCATGATCCCAGGGGTCATGGATGGAGCCCTGCAACCAGCCCTGCACGGACAGCACAGAGCCTGCTTGCAAATCCCCCCCACCCCAATCCCCCAATGTGTGTGTGCACACACGCGCTCTCTTAGTAAATATTTTAACAAGTTTCAATGAATAATTTGTAAACAGCATAGTGTGAGGCAGGATTCCGTAGGAGGAGGGAAAAGGGCAAGTCAGATTAGAGGCTGAATTATGAAGATCTCGTTTGTATTTTCTCCTGTTTGCTGCTTTGGCTCAAGCTGCTGCCTGGAAAGAAGTGTGATTTGGTTCATAATAAAGCTGAAATTATGTATCGTGATTATTCTAGTCCATTTTTTTCCTCTCCCTGTTCCCCTTCCCAGACACCCCCCCCCCCCAACATCGCTTGGTGGACACAGCAGGTGCTCCTTAATGTTGCCGACTTTAATTCTAAAATTATAAAAGCTCTTCCTACATCCCTGTGTTTTCAAAAAGGTTGGAGGATTAATTCTGCTTCTAGGCAGTTTGTTTTATTGGGGGAAAAACTGCGCTTGTCACCTTGTCCGTTCTAAAGGCCAAGTGGAACAGAATAGTCATGGCAGGTGAGCAGGTGGGGAGGATGCAAGCCACTCTGCAGATTGGGCTCACACTGCAGTTCAGGGCTGGTGCCCTCAAAACCAGCCGTTTTCCCAGGTCTTTGAAACAAGTGAAACCAGGACTTTCCACAGGGTAGGAAGTCCCGATGGCTTGCACATTTGGGCAGGGACGTCCTAAACATAAAAGGAACACTCGGGTTGGCCACCGCACACCTCACTATGTATGGCTTTTCCATGTGGATTTCCCTAGGACCCCAGGATACACCAGGATCTGCAGACAAAACACTTCTGGGGGCACTTAAGCAAAATGCTACTAACCTCAGTTCCTTGCAAAGTTAAAATAGCCTTGCCAGACATCTGAAATAGTGCTCAAGTCAGCTAGGAAACTTACCTTTTTCTGCTTAGAGGTTTTCAAATCTGCCCTCAGATTCTGGGATGGGCGATGGGGATCTAGGTTTAGAAAATTTCAGGGTCCCCCTTTCCCATGAATCTGTCAGATGGGAGATCGCTTTTAGATAAGGAAAGTGATGAAAAATCAACTTACTTTAAAAGACCCCTTAAGAGAAGTTCCATCTACTTTATAAAATGGAACCTTCTAGAAAAACAACGTGGCTACAGGCCAAGGATGCTGCTGCCAAACATTCCCCACTACGTGTATCAGCACCACCTCCAACAAAACTGGTTTGTGTCAGTAGCGCTAAAGTTAAGAAACCAACACTGAACACTGGTCTAATTGAACAATGTAATTTAGAGCTGGTGATGGGGTGGGGGTGGAGGGCTGCTCCTTCCAGTCTCTCTACATCCCTTCCCCACAACCTCTCAATGCAGGGAGACCTCTGAGCCGGGCTGTGACCTGCTGGCAGTCCGCCTGACCCTCAAAGCTTGTCGTTTCCACTCACTGTCCTTTACCTTTTTTTTTTTGGTAAATGAAATGGGGGAGATGTTTCCCACAGGTCGCACATCTAGGGACTAAGACTCCCAAGTACAGAATCCTACATCTGCAATTTGTATCAAAACTGGGTATGAGCGCACAGACTTCTTTTAAGAGCCCACTCTTCCTTCACTAGTAGGGAATTCTCAGCTTCCCCGTAAAGCTGGAGTTTAGACTAGTGATTACTTCAAAACAAGTATAGGAAAACTAATGAAAAACCTAAGTATATAGAACACTTTCAGAAAGTACACTGAATTGTAAGGATCAGAAAGGTAAAAGGTTCAAGCCCTAAGTCCCTCTGAAGCACTATTTATGATGTACAAGCATTTCATATTTTTATTCCCTGTGTACTCTGCAAACGTACACTTAAAAAAAAATTTTTAATGTTTTATTTCTGGGTGGGGGGGGAGACACAGCATGAGCAGGGGAGGGGCAGAGAGAAGGAGACACAGAATCTGAAGCAGGCTCCAGGCTCTGAGCTGTCAGCACAGAGCCCAACGCGGGGCTCGAACCCACGAACTAAGAGATCATGACCTGAGCCAAAGTCAGCCGCTTAACTGAGCCACCCAGGCATCCCCGGAAACGTACGTACACTTCTGCCATTAATGAACTTAAGCCCATAAGCTAAGGAAATTCTACTTGTGTAGACTAAAACTCAGTTGGTTAAGCGTCAAACTTTGGCTCAGGTCATGACCTCATAGTCTGTGAGTTCGAGCCCTGCATCTTATGCTCAACATGGGGCTCGAACTCACAACCCCAAGATCAAGAGTTTGCATGCTCTACTGACTGAACCAGCCAGGCACCCCATAAAAATTTGAAGCTTAGATTTGGAAAAGCAACGTTTCCAGCTCAACTTGATGGAATTAAGGTATGCTCAAAAGAGATTTCTAAGCCAGGTGAATAATTTACAGGAAACAGACAATTAGAGGCACCCCATCTCCCATTGCCAAATGTCTCTGCGTCAAGTGCCCAGACCTCTCCAGTGGCACCGGATGAAGTGGGTCTCTTCCTATTTATAACCAGTCCTAACTGCAGTGGATTCCTCCTGACCACTCAAAAGTGGCGCAGATGAAGGTACCCCTTCGTTTGCACCATTATTTTTCCTCCTGTCTAGAAACAGAAACAAAACCCCTCCTTTCGACACTTCTTCCCCCCCTGTGCCCCCCATGCTGCCTGCGGTACAATCCCATTTTTCCGCTCCCTTTCCCTGCAAAGCTAACGTTAACCTCTCCTCCCTTTAACTCGCTTCAAAGAGCATGCATCCCTACACTGCACTCTGCAGCAGCTTGCGCAGACACACGGGAAGCCCCACCGCACTCCCATCAGTGCACCTGGCATGGACGGACCCTCGTTTGTTTTCAAAACGTTTTCTTTCCCTGGCTTCCAACGGGCCAACGCCTCCTGGTTTGCTCCCTCGCTGGCTGTGGCTGTCCCTGCTCCTGTGCAGGTCCTGTTGAAGCACTGCCCTTCCCCACTCCCAGATGAAAGCTTTCACTTAAATGCCATTTGCATGAAGGCGACTCCCGTATTTGTAAATCACACCTAACCTCTCCCATGCTCTCCCTATTCATCTGTCTCGCGATGCCTTGTGTACGTCAAAGAAGCACCTTGAAATGAACATTCCCAAATGAGAGTTACTTTTCGGGCACCGTACCTCAACCAGTTTGCAAACCAAAAACCTAGCAGCCACGATCCTTGCTTCATCAAACCCACGTCCAGTTGGGGACAGGCCTGAACCGCACACACCCTGAACTCAATTCACCTCCACTGCTGCTTCGAGGCTACCATCATCCCTCCGAGTATCTAAACAGACCATCCTTTTAAAACCCTCCATGCCTTACTACTGCTGTGAAGACCCCCGGTCTCGCCCTCTGGTCTAGGTACACTAGCTGTGCCTCGGACAAGCCATTGCACACACTGCCTTTCTCCTGGATCTCTGCATGGTCGGCTCAGCAGATGAAATTCTGGTTTCTGCAGTACAATGGGAGCGCCACAAGGAACATTTTGCCTGTTTTGATCAAGGCTGTATCAGTAGCACCAAATTTAGTTCAGTAGGCCCTCAGTAAATACTCAGTGCTACGTAATACTTCATGCTACTAATGCTACGTAAGTTTTGTAATCTCTTTGGTGAGCTCTGATGGATACTAGTGTTTACTCCCCCTCTCAACCTTGCCACACAAATGTGGTAGTGCTCAGTTTTGCGTCTTTACTTAGCCGAATTTCCACCAACTACAATATTTTCTTTTACTAGTGATGGACCAGTTAAATAGGTCAATAGTATTTTTTTTTCATTCTTCTTAAAAAAAAATTATTCAATGGCTAAACCCTACTTAGGACCCTTAAATGATAGGTATCTCCTGTCAAAGGTAACAATGAGATACAGGCCCTATTTAAGATGCCAGTGTTTACAGTTAGGTGCCTCTTCAAATAAACCATTTTTAAATAGGGGTACATTTGGTTACATTAAGTATATTCCAAATAGCCTATGAGGCATTAAAAGACAAAAGGCACTGACTGTGTAGAAACTGACAAATATGTTTTGATAGTAAATACGAAAATAATTTGTTCATGGACATTAATATGAACGCTTGTTAATATTAACCATCTGATGGCCTATCTGGGCCAAATTTAATGGAAAAGTCCCCAGAGGAGCAGTAACTGAGTAGCCAGATTTCCAAGCTGAGCAGAGACTATCCTAAAACTGTAGATTATAGGACCATTCTGGCACACTGTGGGTCATGAGTAAACATTTGTTCACTACTGATCCAAAGTTTAGTATCTCTCTACACGCTATTGAAAAATTATTTCTTCCATTTTCTGAACATGGGTTATTCGCTCGGCCCTGAGGCTACAGGGTTCCTTGAAGGAGCCCAAGAGGAAGACGACATAAACGATGAACTTCCAGTACCAGGAGTGCTGTAACGGTGTAGCCAAGGGGAAGGTGCGGGGAGATGGGGGCCGGAGGCGTTCCCGTCTGTTTTGGGGTGGCGGGAGGCCCTTCAGGAGAAACAGCCCTCCTTTCCCTAGCCCCCGTGTCTAGAGCCTCGGGGAGCCTTGGTGCAATCGGAAGGGAGAGGCCCCGCACCCCGGCTGCACAATCAGGGGCTCCGTGAGGGCTCTGGATTACAGGCCAAGGAATTCGGCTTCTATCCTGCGAGCACCGGGCTGCAGCGACTGCACCTCGCGCAGCGGCGAAGCGGTGCGGTTCGCAGGTGAGCGCGTCGCGCCTCCGCCCGCGCTCCGCCCGCCGGGCACGGCAGCTCCCGGGTCCCCGTGTGTCGTGCTCAGAAGCGCACAACGCCGGAGACCAGGCGCCGGTCCTCGGGGAGCGCGGAGACGCTCTCCACCGCGCGCAGCACGTGGCGGGGCAGGGTCACGGCCACTGCCGGTGCCGCTCGTCCCCTCCGCCCCCGAGTCCCGGCCACTCTGGTCAGTCAGGGCACTGCGGCAAGAAACGTCGGGGCGGGGACGGTAACTATCCGGAGCCCGGGTCCCGGCGGGCACCCCCCGAGCCCCCCACCGCCGGACCCCGGCCCGCGCGCCCCTTTACCTTCCCCTTGGCGGGCTCGCCGGGCTGCGGCGCGGCGGCCATGGGCTCCGGAGGGCGCCTACGGCCCCGCCCCGCCCCGCCCCGCCCCGCCCGCGCCGCGAGCGGAAGCCCCGCCAGCCCCGCCCCCGCGCGCCGGCCGCCATTTTAGGGAAGGTTCCTGCGTCTCCGCAGTGGCCGCGCAGGCCCGTCGCCTGGGCTGCGGGTCGTCTCCTTTGTTCGAACGAACGGGTGACGCCTTCTCCACAAGGGGCTGTCCGCAGCCCGGGGGGCCGGGGCCGTGAGAGGAGGAGGGCTCATGAAACAGCCCTACACTGGCCTCCCCGGCGGGGGGGGGGGGGCAACACAGCACCCGGGCGCCTCGAGGCTGCGCCGCTTCCCGCCCCAACCCCCTGCTTCCGCCCCGACCGCCATTTCTAACTGTCGGCCGCGGGGGCGCGCGCGCGTGCCTGGGGGCCGGGGGCGCGCGCCAGGCGGGGCCGCGGCGCGGAAAGCGCGCGCGCCGCCGCCGCTTTGTCCTGCGCGCGGGCCCCGCGGCCGGGTCGGCGGCCCAGCCCGCCCCCAGCCTCGGCCCACCGGCCCGGAAGTCGGCCCGCGCTCGCTCGCGGCCCGCGTCCCCTGCGTGTCCTTTGTCCTTCCGGCCCCTGGACGAGCCCGGGCTGCGGCGGCCACCTCCGCCCAGCGCCGGCCCGCGGCCCCCCGCGGCCCCCCGCCCGCCCCGCCGCCTGCGCTGTTAGTTCCCTGACTTAGTAGCTTTAAAGGAGCGCCGCCCGCCTCGCCCGAAGGAGACTGGGGACAAAATGGAGGGAGCGGTCGTGGGCGGACGTGCGTCAGGGCGCCCGGGCCTCCCGGCTGGCGACATTCCCCCCCCCTTCCCCCCGCCGTGGCCGCGCGCCTCCCGCCCGGTGCCCTTGCAAGTGCGCTCCTGGGCACGCGTCTACGCGGGCGCGCGGCGGCCCCGGTCGCCCGGTCCCGGCTTCGGACCTCGCCCCCCTCCCGCCGCCCGACCCCGTGAGCCCCCGGGCCACGCGCCGTGGTTGCGGACCGCTCTGCGTGCCGCACGAGCTCTGGGTGGAAACGGACGGTCACACCACGTACTGCGGTGCTAGGGGCTAGGCCGCGGACTACAGCCCCGCACCCCTGCCGCCCGCCACGTGGGGGTTCGCCCCTGCACCCCTCGAGCTAACGATGCTTTGCACTCTTGGTCTGGAAGGGCCTATTGAGAGTAGCAATATTGCGTAAAGGAGGGAGGAATTCTTTTGAAGTGATTCCTAATTATGTTGTAAACGGAGGACTGGAAAAGTACCGGGTGAAACGCATACGCCCTCCGCCTGCAGATTTTGCGGCGCCTTGGAAAACTGTAAAGTTACTTTGCAGAAAGTGTAAACTCATGGTTTCTAAAAAGTATTTTTTATGTTATTTCTTTATGTCAAGAATTGCGTTTTCACAAATACTGCATAATATTTGCATGTTTTATTTATTCCCCTCCCCCTCCCCAAGTTTGCAGGGGACAACTGAAAAGTAAGATGTTTTCCGCTCTCACCCCTCCTTTGTCCCCTAAGGTAAACTCACCAGTTTCATGTGCCGGTTTCCAAACTGTTCTTTTTCCTCCTTTTTTTTTCCTTTACTAAAAAACAACACGGGAATTTAGCATAAAAAGCGGAAGTCTCTCCATGCCTTACCTGCACCCCCTACACACCTACTTGTGTTTCCGTATATGATTCAGATCTAATTGTGCATTGTGTACTTTGCATTCAGTACTTTACTTTTTATCATCTGACACTATGTTGGAGATTTTCTCACTCACTTTAAAGGCTGCTCATCGATCCTTTCATCAAACCTCATTTTCCTCCTAAGTGACATAGAAAATTTCTTTTTTTGTTTTTACTAATTCCAAAAAAAAGAAAAATGCTTCAGGACCATCTTTCTGCTTCTATTTGTGTGCACATGGTTAAGTAGTTCAGGAGGATGGGTTTCTGGAAGGGGCCTGATGCGAAGGGGTATGACATTAAAAACTTGAGAGGCGCCTGGGTGCCTCAGTTGGCTAAGTGTTGGGCTTTGGCCAAGGTCACGATCTCTAGGTTTGTGGGTTAGACCCCCGCCCCCTCCCCCGGGCTCCGTGCGGACAGCTCAGAGCCTGGTACCTGCTTCACATTCTGCCTCCCGCTCTCTCCGCTCCTGCCCGCCCCCCCCCCCCGTGCTGTCTCTCAAAAATGAATAAAGGTTTTAAAAAAAATTGAATACGTGGGACACCTGGATGGCTCAGTCTGTTAAGCGACTGACTTGGTTTGGGCTCAGGTCATGATCTCGAGGTTTTGTGAGTTCGAGCCCCGCATCGGGCCCTGCACTGACTGGAGCCTGCTTGGGATTCTCTCTCTCCGCGCCTCCCCCCCCCCCCCCGCCCCTCCTCCACTCGCACTGTCTCTGTTGCTCTCAAAAGAAATAAACTTAAACAAATTTTTAAAAAATTGAATACCTACTGCTAAAGTGTCCTCCAAAAATACTAGCAGTTTACATGCTCAGTAGCAATGTGTGTGAGAGCCTGTGTCCTCACAACCTTTTTAACACTGCATCTTATCTATTAAAATTTTTGCTGATGTGATGGGTGAAAAGGAGTCTTCCTGCTAAAACTTTCTTAAACTTGCTGCTTAAACTTTTAGTATAGTTGAGCATTCAAATGTTTGTTGGCCATTCTTTTTCCAAGAACTGACTTTGTATGTAGACCTTGCACATTAGAAATTTTGTTTATGTGATTTTTCTTACTAGTTTATAACAGCTCCTTAAAATGTTGGCTTTTACCTCATAACGAAGTTATTTCTACTTCACGTATTAATTTTGTTTCTGGAGACTTTATTTCTTTTAACTTTTTAAAAATAAAAAACGGAGTCTAATCTGTCAATATTTTCTTTTATGGCTTTTGATCTTCTGTCTTGCTTACATGAGCCTTCGCTCCTACAATTAAAAAATACTCTCATAATTTTGAAAATAAGCTTCATGTCCTCCCTTCTCAATAATTTTGATCATTTATACATTTTTTCTTAAAAGACAAATTTTGGCATGTTATAACCAAGTTTGTTTTATCCATCTTATTTTTTGTTTTTTCTATTTTTAAAATTTTATTTGAGAGAGAGAATGAATGGGGGAGGGGCAGAGAGAAAGAGAGGGAGAGATTCTTAAACAGGCTCCGAGGTGCATATGCTCAGTGAAGATGGAGCGAGCCTATGAAGGGCTGAATTCCACAATCCTGGGATCATGAGCTGAGCTGAAATCAAGTGTCAGATGCTCAATCGACCGAGCCACCCAGGTGCCCCTGTTGTTTTTAAAGCAAAAAAATTTTTCCCAGCTTTTTGAACTGACTCCTTAGTTCACTTATTCTCCATCTGTTTTTGGTTCCTAATGAATGTATTTAAGGCTATAAAGTTTCCTCTGAGAATCATTTTTATCCCATGTTATGTCATAGATTTGGACAGGTGATGTTCTTATTGCATCTTTTCTTAAATTTCAAATAGTTTCAGCTTTTATTTCTTTACAAGTTAATAAGTGTGGATACGGTTTTGGAATTAATTTTTAGTTCTTTGGTTTTGTTTTACTTTACACTGTGACGCACGTATTTCCACCTTTTGTAATTTATTCATTTGTGTGTGTGTTGCCGGAGAGATTAGTTTGTGCATGTTCCATAGGCATTTGAAAACTGTCTGTGTTCCTACATTAGCATTACATTAAGGTTATTAGTTGTAATAGTATAATGTATATTATAAATATATGTGTATATAAATATAAACTTAATAGCATAAACTTAGGCTTATTAATTTTTGTACGGTAAGGGTTTTTTTTCATTGCAAGCAACAGGCTGTGACTCTAGGTAGCTCAAAGAAGAAAGAAGTGTACTGGAGGGGCCCCTGGGTGGCTCAGTGGGTTAAGCATCCGACTTCGGCTCAGGTCATGATCTCGTGGTTCGTGAGTTCGAGCCCCCCCTCGCTCTGTGCCGACAGCTCAGAGCCTGGAGTCTGCTTCCGACTCTGGTCTCCCTCTCTCACTGCCCCTCCCCTGCTCCAACATCTGCTCTGTCTTCTACCCACCATGGTGTTTTGCTCTGTCAGCCATGCCCTCTGTTGTAGGGAGTCCCCAATGGCCCTACATGACGTGGTGGTTCAGCACAGTGGGGGGAGCAGAACCAGAGAAACTCTTCTCTACCTCTTCCTTTGCTCCGGGTGGTTGTCAATCCTCTGGCACGCTGCCCGGAGTCTCTGCTTTCATCTTCTCATCTGGGAGAGAGCACCTAGCACCAGCACCTAGCCAGCTACAGTTATCAGTTATCTGCAGCCCGCCGGGAAGGAGAGGGGGTCTGAGGCTGTGCTGGCAAAGCTCTGAGCTTTCCTCTGGCTTGGGTCGGGTTGTTTTGAAATCGGGTGCACTGGGTTGAAATAATGAGCCAGATCCCAACCCCTGTGTGTCATCCGGAAAGTCCTACTTTCCTGGTCTGCTGCTGCTGCCTTCTCCTGTCTTTCCAGCCGAGCTATCGATTTATTTTTATATCCCTTTCGTCATTTCAATAGTTTTTAGGGGAGGCAGTGGTAGAGAGTTGTGTTGCCGGACCTCTCTAACCTGAAGTCTGAATTTTCCTCCTCTTCTCTCCTATTTGTGTGTCTGTGCATGCGAGTGTGTGTGCCTGTGCGCACACGAGCGTGTTTAAGCCTAATGGAGTCAGAGAGAAAAGCAGCTGTTTTCCGCCCTAATTTACTCCGGGGTTCTGCACCCCACACACACTGCCTTTTATCTCCTTTGGCCCTTTATTCTGGTCATTTACCTTCATATTTCTAAATAAAAGGCTTATTCTTTTATTTCTTGATTTATCCATTTTAGGCAGTGTGTTGACAGTGACAATGTAGCTCTGTTTTCCTCCCTTTCCCCCCATCCTCTCAACATGGGGGCATCACTTTCTGCAATGTTAAACTGGCACTCAGTGTAGACATTGCTACAACCACAGAAATGCTCATAGCTAAGCCATGCGGAGTAACAGGATTCTACTTCTTTTCTTGTAGGACTTTTTATTGGGGGGGGGTGGCAT